GATATTTGAACTCTGGCATAATGCCATCTATGTTTCTATTAGTTATCACTAGAAATGTTTCTATGTACGAACTTTTATACTTTATTTAGTAAATAAAATTCAATTTATTAACACAAACTCTATCTATCTATATTTCTCATGAGATATTGTAACTATTTACACTATTTACATTGTTCAGACTTTTATCCTCATCTTTATTGCCATATTCACCTTCAACATCTGTCTCTATTTCTGAGATGAGGTATTGTAACTATTTACACTATTTACATTGTTCGGACTGTTGTCCTCATTTTTATTGCCATATTCACCTTCAACATCTGTCTCTATTTCTGAGATGATGTATTGTAATTATTTACACTATTTATAATGTTCGGACTGTTGTCCTCATCTTTATTGCCATATTCACCTTCAACATCTGTCTCTATTTCTGAGATGAGGTATTGTAACTATTTACACTATTTACATTGTTCGGACTGTTGTCCTCATTTTTATTGCCATATTCACCTTCAACATCTGTCTCTATTTCTGAGATGATGTATTGTAATTATTTACACTATTTATAATGTTCGGACTGTTGTCCTCATCTTTATTGCTATATTCACCTTCAACATCTGTCTCTATTTCTGAGATGAGGTATTGTAACTATTTACACTATTTGCATTGTTCGGACTATTGTCCTTATCTTTATTGCCATATTCACCTTCAACATCTGTCTCTATTTCTGAGATGAGGTATTGTAACTATTTACACTATTTACATTGTTAGAACTGTTGTCCTCGTCTTTGTTTTCATATTCACGACGTTTCGGCCAGTGGATAAAAGCGCTGGTTGAAGTAATCCAGTGACCTTATCCAAAGAGTTGTGAGTTCAATACCTGGCCACAACGGAGATGAACAAAACTTAGAGAGTTAAGTTACTAAAATGAAATAACTGAAACTGAGATATTCGGCTGAGGCATGGCACGTAGAACTAGAACAATCTACCGCATGGACGAAATAAACAGTTCCATTGAAAATTCCAATACCCTGAAGTATGTCAGATTGTACAACGGCCGAATCGTCGTGAATATGACAACAAAGCTGAGGATAACAGACCGAATAATGTAAATAGTTTAAACATAAAATTTAGTCTTGAATATTTGATTAATGATTGTTTGATTCGTTTTCTACGGCTTATCTACCCTTTGCAGGTTATTTAAAGTAAGAAAATATTTTTAGATTGTATGAATTTTTTGAGATAATAATGCTGTAGTGATTCAAGTCTTAGTAATCAACCCATAGCTAGGGGATGCTACTCCACACTTCAGGAAAAGTACGGAACATAAAAGAAGAAATCGTTGCTAGAAAATACTATATAACACGATTTATCCATTTAGCTAGATAAAAATTGAAATTTATTGACATATTCAATATTACCTTGGATATTTTGCGGCATCTCGGTTTTGTTAGAAAGTCTCACGTGTTGACGTATACTCTTAAACCACGGCCTTGTTAAATATTTAACCGTGTTTGATAGATGTGGCAATGCTCGTCCATAGTCTTATGTACGCATTATATTGTCTTGTGCATATGTTTATGATATTACTTTCCGCTTTTATCATTAAATTGCTTGATGTATATTTTTTTCTGTTGTTGGCATTATATTTTCTTGCGTATGCAGTGTCTTGTGTACGCAACATATTGCATTGTGTATGAAATCGCTTCTTAACAACGTCGAAGTTAGTTTGACCATAAACAGTGGTACGATACAACTCCAGCATTTAAATCAAAGGGTAAAATACTTGCTTACATCTCGATCGCAACGTTGAATATAGTCATAAAACATCGTTGTAACTTATGATGTTCATTTTGCTATTGTATTCATCAGGCGATTATTAACTGAAACGTCGATGCCGTTCAGGTGGGTCTACTAAGTGGGTCATCTTTGCCAGAAAACGGAATAATCCTTTTCTAGTATTATGCCTTGGTTGCATATAATACTGCTGAGAGAGAGAGAGAGAGAGAGAGAGAGAGAGAAAGAGAGAGAGAGAAAACGAAAGAAAGAGAAAGAGAAAGAAAAAGAAAGAGAGAGAGAGAGAGAGAAAGAGAGAGAAAGAAAGAGGGAGAAAGAGAGAGAGAGAGAGTGTTCTACGTTGTTAAGTTGGCTGAATCGCAGGGACAGCTCTATTCTTCAGTGATTCGACTGAATGTAGAAAGCTGTGTCTTGACTTGAGCCTCTTTGAAATTGGTTCAAAGCCGTGGAGTGGATGACGAGTGTCAGTTTCCTGTTTCAATTTCTCAAGTTGGGAGTGGACTGTCCTCCTAATGCAAGGGAAAGAAATGTCACTAAGCAAGTGGAGGCCATTCAGGCAGGGCCGATTTTCTTTGCATGTGAAGATCTGCCCCACACTGGTTAGGCATATTCTGCAGTGGAGTAGCAAAGGCTAGGGCTGTACTGGGCATACCATTTGATGTTAGCCAGCTTCTTTAGACTCCCCTCCCACTTCCTCCAGTGATACCTGACCCTTTTGGTTCTGCCTGAATCGAACCCCCCCACCCTGAACAGCTGTAGAGCCAACCTTCAGAAATGGTGATATACCACCGATGATGATCCCAACTGCCAATGCAGGCATTTAGAAACAATGGATCATCTAGTTTGCCCCAGTCTTGAAGATTCGTGCGCACTTAACGATCTTAAAGCCATAAAACCTCAGGCAAGGCTCTCTACGTAACACTGGCTGGTGCAGTGTCGCAACTTGATACTACTACTATTACTATTACTACAACTACTACTACTAATAATAATAATACTCTGTTCTCACTGAACCACTGCATCTCGGTGTTGGTAGTTAAACTATATACTGTTGTTTATTTCTTCCAAGATATCTGAGAGGCTCATTGTGCTGATGTTTTTGAAATTATAGTGAACACCTCAATCAGGAATTCGATCTTTTTCTTTTTTTTTTACGCGCCATGTTCTTTCAGAACGTAGGCGATTATGGCTCTCCATTTACCTCTATCCCTTGTAGCTCTCAGCAAGCTCCTTCCCTCAGCTTCCTTCCCTAGACCACGTACTGTCATCCACCTGTTCAAGTTCGTCAGGTATGTCACGCGCTGCTTTCCCTGGTCTCTCTTTCCCTCTGTTTGAACCGTGAGTATCAGTTTCTCTAGGCCATCCTTCCTCATTATGTATCCCAGAAACTTCAGATGCCTCTTTCTGATGTTAAGTATAAGCCTTCTTGTTTGTAACCTCTCTAAGACCTCATCGTTGTTCACATGCTCGGTTCAGGATATCTTTCTGTAGAACTACATCTCGTGTCTCTTCTTCATCTTTGAGGAAATCGTCCAACATTCGCTGCCGTAACGAAGAACAGATGTCACGTAACAGTTCAGTATTCTTTTTCGATCTCACCATCCCGAAAACGCTCGTCCAGTTTTATGATCGCAAAACTAATTGGATGCATCCCAGATCCAAGGATTGACACATGATCGACAATGTGGTAAGTAAAAACAAAAACGCAAGGCTAAAGATTTTCGTATCACTCGTTCTTTTCTTTGCCACAGCTATCGTTCAGATCGATCCTTACTTTGCAAACGCTGCAAGTAAGAGCATCGGGCCATTAAAAACTGATCCTAAGAAAGCTGAATTCTCTAATGCTATTGAGCCGAAATTCGATTCAATTGTCATATCGAAATCACTCAGTGACGCCGTCTCCTTCGCTATCTTCGAATTGCTTGAACTTGACAAAAGGAGTCATCAGATTCGGTTTAATGATAACAACGCAAAAATTTCACTTCTTAAGGACAAGACGCATTACCATCGTCAGTCTTTTGAAAGGGTGTGGGCTATAGGGTCCCTATGAAGCTGAGCACCGTACCAGTTCCCCCCACATATCAAAGTTGGAAACCGAAGTATTTATTCATGTGTAGCGTCTCTTGGGAAAGTCGACCCGGTGGCTCTCATCGCTCTCCAGGTCAAACCACAGCCGATTACCTCTAACCTGAGGCTTTGACTATTGATTCCATCGTGGAGGGACTCTCCGTATTGGTCGCTTTCGACGTGATGTGGCCGTAAGCCTGGGGCTATGCTGATGACATAGTTATTCATATTGGGATAAGAATGATCTTGAACATAAAATCAACATGCTCTACCATGTCACGTAATCGAATTTTGAGTTTGATTGCGTCAGTTTTCTTGCTGCAGTTACAGTGTAGACATGACTGCTCAGCTAGCAGTCTGCACCAAGGAGGAATAAAGAGCAGTGGCCTGAATTTGCAGAGAACATTCTACCTCATTCTATCGGTTCGCCCATTAGTGGAGGTTGGCTGATGTCCTGCTCTTTTTTCGTGTGTCACGCTTGTGCGGCCGCTTTTAAACTTCTCAATCCACTCATACACACTTGTACGCGGTAGTGCACTTTCGCCGTATCGTGTTAAAAGGTTCCGATGGATTTCAGCTACTGACATACCTTCCGACTAGAGAAATCACTGCTCTTTGTTCCTCCTTGGTGCACACTGTTAGCGGAACGGCCATGTATACACTGTAACAGCAACAAGAAAACTGGCGCAATCAATCTTAAACTTTGTTCACGTGGCCACGGTAGTATCAACTATAAGCACACATGAACAGAAGTCAGTGTGACAAACCTAACGATATGCTATGGCGAAAGTGCGGATAATTTTTGACTTAACATCGTACTGGGCCTGGATTTCATATTCAACACTTTCATATGACTAATGATTCATGATTGTTTGGCTGCAATTTTTAGTGCGTTTTGGCAGGTAAGCAACGTTGAGTCTGGTTAGTAACTAGATGGGTGACCGCTTGATAATAACGGGTGCTGTAAGCTTGGATGTGTATGTGGTGTAAAGGGTTTACAGGCATATCACGTTGAAACAGCGGTCCCCGTAAGATCAACGAAGTTAAGCAACGCCGAGTTTGGTCAGTAACTTGATGGGTGACCGCTTGGTAATAACTGGTGCTCGAAGGTTGGGTGTGCACGTGGTGTAAAAGGCTTTCAGTCGTATCACATTTAAACACCGATTCTCGTACGATCACTGAAGTTAAGCAACGTCGATCCTGGTCGGTACCTGGATGGGTGACCGCTTGGGAATACCAGGTGCCGTAAGCTTAGATTTGCTTGTTGTGTAATGGATAACGGCTTGGAATTGGAAATCGGAGAGCTGAGTTTCAATTCTAGTCGGATTCGTTACATTTACTTACAAGCATATACTCCTGGGAAAGTTATGAATCCATCGTACCTCTCCCAGCTGGGTGTTAATTAGTAGGAATTGTATCAGTTATAGTTATTTTAGCTAAAAAAAAATTTATAAACTAAAATATCTTCTGATTTTACATGACCTGGAACAGATTGATAAGCCGTAAAAATAATAAATAAATAATTTATTAGGTAAACAGCAATAATATAGGGATTATGTAACTAAGAATAGACTTAATATTGAATATATGACTATATCTCGTGATTACATGAGCTTCTAATCATATATTATTGGTATATATAATCATATGAAATACGGAGTTATTATTGTTAGTTGGTGGTATGTGAATTAACTGAGCTATAATCAGTTAAGTTGCAATATTATCGGGTTAATGTAGTAATTAGGTTTCCAAGGAATACATTTTACATGAACGTTATATTATATCAGATGAAAATAGAACCCCCCCCCCAAAAAAAAAAACAAACAAAACAAAACAGATGCCATGACATTAACGTTAGTAATACCTGCGTACGTTTAACATTTCAGAATATATTTATATGATAAATATATCAGGGGAATTTCAGCTTATATTTCCTGTCGCTTTTAGAAATGTTTACATTCACTTATTTAGTGACATGACATTTTATTTATTTTGCACTTTGACTAATAAATCCTCAAGTCTATCTATCTATCTATCTATCTATCTATCTATCTATCTATCTATCTATCTATCTATCTATCTATTCCAGTCTGTTCAGATCTATCCCAACCATTATATGGTCATTATCTATCAATCTATCTTGTTCCATATCTATCTATCTATCTATCTATCTATCTCAGTCTTTGTTAATATCTCCTATCTATCTAAAGTCTGTTTATTTGTACACTTTCAGAATTCACTGCTGCGATCGTATATTTTATTTATTTTCTTTCTTCCGCCTTTTCTTTTTTTTTTTTTAAATCCGTTGCTGGTTATGTTCTAAAAGATCAATTTTTTATTTATCCTGAACAAATAACTCTACCCCAATAAACTTTTCATTGATCTAAAAGCTTTTCGGCGTTTGATAAAGGATTATGTTTATTTGTTTTCTTCAGTCGTATCTTTTATTTCCGTGCAAACCCGTCCGTGCAATCCTTGACAGTTCAATGCTTTACAAATTGGTGAAACGTGTACTTCTGCTCCAGCATTCTTCAGATCTGTGTGGATATAGTTTCCGCTCGATTTCTTGTTGACTAACACTCTCCCTAGTGATTGAAGTCACATCTCGTGTTGAAATCTTTCCCTGAGCGACCCGACCTTGCAAGCCCTGCTACGATACCCGATTTGTTTCTATTTATGAGCGCATTTTCATATAAAGGACGATCTTCAAACTGGTTGGTAAGTTTAGTATTCCCTGGAACTGTAAGTGTGAATAGAATTTTTTTTCAGACCTTCAGAGTGCTGTATTGTTTTCATTGGTTGGTTGATTTTGTTTAGCGGCATATCAACCTCTATGGGTCATTTAATGCCGAAATCTAAATATCTTGAACGCAATCGCATGCCTTCAATCACAGATAAATATATTCTTGGTCATTTTGCTATAAAATATATTGTTGATAATTCTACTATGAAATGTATTGTTGGTTACTTTGCTTTAAAATGTATTGTTAGTAATTTTACTATAAATATTTATTGTTGGCAATTGTCCTCAAGAACACTTGGCCCAGTGGATAAAAGCGTTGTAATCCAGCGACTTGACCCAAAGAGCTGTTAGTTCAATACCTGGTGACAGCAGAGGTGAACAAAAAGTTGAAGATTTGAGTTAAAGGTAAATAACAGAAACTGAGATATCTGGAAAAGGCATGGACAATAGAACAATCTACCCCGGTGTACGAATAAAGGGTTCAGTTCGAAATTCAAGTCATTTGAAGAAGGTCGTAGCCTATAACGGCCGAAACGTCATGAACAATAAAAATAAATAACACCAGTCGACATTTTTTCGATCCAAATGTTGTTGGGCGATGGGCATATATTTCTGGGCTATTTTTTATACGTTGAATCTGAAAATCAAGTCCATTTTTCCGATCACATCATGTTTTCTCAGTACAGATAATTTCTATTTTGTTTAAAATAGGCTAAAGTGACTAATTGTACTATAAGTATTTTTCAAAAACATTATTTATTGAAAATTAAATGACAAAATGATTACATTTTGAAGTTTGGTCATTTGGCCTGAGGGTCGGGCCAAGACTTTCTGAACCCTCCTTCTTATGCACATAGTTATATCAGTAAGCCCACAGCCCAAAAAATCTTTTTAAAAAGGCCCACCGCCCAAGAAAATTTTTTAAAAAGCCTTTATTTTACGGGAAAAAAGTGTCAAGTAATATGCGTGTATTTTGTTATCCGATGTAAATCGTGGAATATATTCTCTTTAGCTCCCACCTGTTAGTTAAAGAGTTATTACTTGTTTTTTCTGTTTTTTTTATTTATTTATTTTATTGTGTAAAATAATAGCAAAATGTTTACCTGTATATATCTCTAGCCATTCCAAAATCCGCGATTTTTGCAACGCAATCAGAGGTTTTTGACGAAAGGAGACAATTTCTGGCAGCTATGTCACTGAGGAAAAATAGTAAGCAGAGAAAAGTGAAAATGTTTTTATAAACAGAGAACTTCGCTGGGAAAGCTTTTTTTTATTTCAGAGAATTATCTGCTGAAAAAAATAATAAAAATATATTAAATAAGCCAATATAATAAAAACAAGCAGCTTTTGAGATTATACACGTGTGTACAAAGGTACACATACTTACACGTATGCAGAGGCAAACATACAATGCGTAGACAAAAAACACGTACGTACTCGTTGGTCACAAAATAGATGCAAATAATTAAAATGAAGATGAATGAAATCCTAGCCCAAAATGAATAATGCTTGATTATGCTTCATCTAATCAAAATGCCTTAATTACTACTATTAATGCTACTAGTGGAAATAAAGCAATTGAAACTAAGATTAAAAAAATCCTAGGTAAAAATGAATAATTCTTGACAAGGAGGTATTATCATCCTCTCCTGATAAAATTCTTTGATAAAATCTTGTGTTTCCTATTTTACAACATAAACCACTTGAATTCGCAAATGAAACATTATTTTTGATATTTTTAAATAATTTAGTTCTCAACAATTTAAGGAGAAAAAGCACTTCACTTAATGTTTATTCCTGAATTCTTTCATGCTTGAATTCGTTGAAATGGCGTGTCTGGCTAAAGTGGAAGAACTTTTCCAGACAATATTCCAAAGAAATATTGTTTTAAATGAGAAACGTCTACATGTATATTTTGCTGATACAATCAGCAAAATATACATTCTTCAAAATGTCAGCGTAATGAAAAAAGTAACGATGTAAAGAAAGAAAGTACTGGAAAAAAACAGCAAAAAAAATTTGAATGCTTGAAAAGCTTTGAATGAATATCTATCTATCTATCTATCTATCTATCTATCTATATATATATATATATATATATATATATATATATATGTATGTATTTAGTTGGATTGATGTGAGTTTGTGACACTGGGTTTCAAGCTATTTGCGATCATCAGACGAACTGATTAGCTTTTTTACATTTTGGATTTATATATGGTTGCGTATATCGGTGTTTTTATGGAAGGGGGAGGAAAAATTGTCGTCAAAACGCCACTCATACGTACGCAAACATACATACAACATACACGCACGTACACTCATTGCAGCTCACACAAACATAAACATATATGAACATTGTGGGACTGGGCGTATATGTGTATCCATGAGTCGTGGCGTACACACATACGCAATTGGTCACTGTATTCAATGTTGGATAAATAATATATAAAAATTATATATATATATATATATATATATATATATATATATATATATATATATATATATATATATATATATATATATATATATATATTTTACATATATATATATATATATATATATATGGATTTAAAAAAATGAACTTTTGTATAACCATTTTTTTTTTTTTTTTTTTTGTTTGCAGGACCTAGGTACCTTTCGGCCAACGCTTCATCAGGGTCTTACGTTGGCATTGGATTTAAATGAACAATGGAGATAAGAAGAACGCCAAAATAATAATATGGTTGGAACACGTCTAAAATCTTATGAATATATACATACGTAAAATTAAAATAAATTTACGATTAAAATAAATGCGTAAATAATAAATTAAATGAACCAACCTGAGCAGTAAAATCGAAAAATAAGTTGCTCATATATCAGAAAATAAATTTAGACGTGTTCCAACCATATTATTATTTTTGGCGTTCTTCTTATTCCATTGTTCATTTAAATCCAATGCCAACGTAAGCGTTGGCCGAAAGGTAAGGTCCTGCAAACCAAAAAAAAAAAAAAAAAAAAAAAAAATGGTTATACAAAAGTTCATTTTTTTTAAATCCTTATATTTGTTTTGTGGTATCAAAACATTATTCTAATATATATATATATATATATATATATTGGCATCGTCGTCCGTCATCCTTGTATCTATCTCTTTGAATTTAATTCTGTATTTATTTTATTTTATTTTCTCTCTGTCCCTCTCACTTTTCCTCGTCACTAACGTTTCCTTCCTTTTTAGTTTTTGTTTTTTGGATTGAATTTATTTATCTTCTGTTTTTCCTTTCTGAAAAGTTTGAATATTATGTCTTTAGCGATTTTTCAGGTTCATACAAGCATTAGACGTTATTTTTCACTCTTGGCTCATAGGCGTGGAATGGCTCTCTTCTAGAAGAAGTTAATGTTGAAAAACTAAGTTAATACTTTTTTATATTTCCATTCCAGATACCCTATTCATAGCCCTTCCGACTCATATGCTTCAACTCTATCCATCTATAACAATCCATATGGGCGAGTGTAGTG